GGGGGGGGGGGGGGGGGGGGGGGGGGGGGGGGGGGGGGGGTGAGAACGAAATTGAGAAGCCGAAGGCAATAAAAAGGGAGAGGGAGGGGTGGGGTTAGCGAGATCTGAGAGTCTACGCCACTAATTTCATAATCACCGTGTATCCAACTTTGCAGACTCATATTGAGTTGTGAAAGGGGTGAGTACAAAAAAGTAATCTACAAGTGTGTATCGTTTGGAGGTAGCTTAAGCAGGCGAACAAATTTAATATCCTTTTGCATCGAGACACTTTGCTTTAATATTGTTACAAAAAATGTTTTCAACGAACATTGGGGGGGGGGGGGGGGTCACTCATTTCAGTTTTCAACCTTCAATTCATCTAGCTTGAGGCTAGGGAGCAGAAGCTTCAATCAAATGTCCTTATTTAGACAATGACGTACGGACTACTATCACCTCGTAACTTCGCTCTTGACATTATTAATGACACACACGGCAAAGCAAGGACCTTTTTTTAATTTTTAATTACGCTGTTGGATCAGAGTATGCGAAGCAGCAAAATAGTCCAATAAGGTATGGAAAGAGAGGTCGAATTGGAGGGTACTATGGCCTCAAAGTGTCGGGAGTCCTGCGTTATTTGATTTCTGAAGGCAGTGAGGTATGATTATTTAAGCATTCAAGGAGTCAAATCTTCATGAATTGTTTCCTAAGCATCCGGTTAGATTGATTACTGCCACACCTGCTTCACCCCGATTCTCAAAGGAATGTGTCTTGAAATTATACTACGGACTAGCCTGCCAATTTGGGTTTGATTTAGAAAATTCCTATACCAGATGGTAATGTTTGGAACACGAAGTATGCAGGTTAATTGAACATCTCAGGGGTGTTCTGCGTGCTATGAAGTCCCAAAACCATTTGTCGAGTGTAAAGATAATGATGGTACAATCGTTGAAAACTGCCAAACAAAAACAAAGACCACAAATTCTTTAATTGAATCCCTAGCGGGGTGTTTAATTTTATGCGATTGCTTGCAAAAAATTGAATTTTAACCAAAACCTCATGTTGTGCTTGTTTTATTGTTGCTTTTAAAGCGGGAAAACTCCATAATTATTGAAATTTAAAAGGCATTCTCTTTGTTTCGAATCTACTATTTTGCCTGGTCCGGTTGTTTTTCTTTTGTAAAAGTATCTGACCATAGAGAACAGAGCATTTCAAGCTGACAAAAGGGAAAGAACCCAATTAGGATGAAATTAAAAATAAGTTCGTCAACAATCCTCCAAAAAATTGGAGGATTAAAAGCTTCATACTTCATAATGCCCAAATTTCGCCCCCCCCCACCCCCCCCCTCCCCCTCCCAGTTTTGTGACCGGAGTTGTGCTCGTTGGGTCAAGGTGCAACCAGTTTATTAATTTTTGTGTCGTTCAATCCTGGCTAGTGGGGTGAGGGGGGGGGGGGTGGACTCTTGATGGGATTGGTTCCTTTATAAGGATTTTTTGACGGTGGTTTTAGTACCAATTAAATCCACATACCAACACTTTTATTCCCTTCTCATTTTCAGCCTGGTTTTACCGCGTTGCACATAGCTGCGCATTACGGCTCAGGCAATGTTGGCAGTCTTCTCATACAACGCGGCGCAGATGTTAATTTTCAAGCCAAGGTGCGTCTACCCTTCAAATGCTTATTGCAACTCCTGATAATGCATTCTTTTTGGTTATGCACTTTTTTGTCGTACGACCGAGTTACTTATTTATTTATAACAAATGGCAGGCGATTTGATAGCTATCATTAGCCCTTCAGCTGACTTTGGGCCCCACAGAGAGTGGGAACATCAAAGTTGCAAAAAGTCGAGAGGGGGGACAGAAGAGTGATTCACAGATGCAAAAAAAGACAGACGCAAAGGTAGTGAGTGGGGGTAAGGTGAGTACTGGGAAGTGGTGGAATATGACATAGTCAGTGATGGTAGTTTGAAGTCAGAAGTCAACTGCCAGTTTATAGACTTTTGCCGTATGAGTATACATTGCCCAGGGTGCACAACGTGGATTTAAGTCTATCGCGCACCCCCGCATTGGTGAATATTAAACCTGTGACCTTTGATTTCCCAAACGGGCACTTTAGTTGCTGATTACTGCCAGTCGAATCATCAAGAACCTTTTGTTTATTTGTATAAAGTCTAGTTGGGCTAGTAACTATACCAACTTAAAGAAATGACAATTACTTCATTATGCATGGTTCCCTATTTGCACACTGGAGACACATTCTCGGCTGCTCACACATACAATTAAAAATAGAGCTCTACTACTTGTGAAGAGGGTAGAGGAAACCTGCCTGTTCATTGTCCAACAGGTCAAATTATTTTGCTGTGATGTGCTACTTGTTTTCTTCCACCAAAATCCCATGAAGATAGTTTGGCATCGTTAATTTTGTTGGTCTTGAGGATATTAATAACCGGCGTACTATGCAAGTAGGTTTTACTTGAGATTAACTCCCAAAATTGCTTCGGCAAACGTAGACCTCTGTTTACCACGCGGATATGCGGTCAATATTTTTCGAGGAATATTAAGTAAGGTTGATGACCAATTGCAATGATTATTCGTAACCAATAAGCCTCTCTGGAATATTCTCCCTTTCTCCAAGTCAATACGTACCTTATTGGTCTTGGTGCCTTTTCATTATGCTGTGTGTATGTTATTCTCTTGCAGAATAACATAACTCCACTTCACGTGGCTGCCAAATGGGGTCGTAACGGCATGGTAAAGCTTCTCCTAGACAACGGTGCTCTAGTCGACAGCAGAACTCGGGATGGCTTGACACCCCTTCATTGTGCAGCTCGATCTGGACACAGTGCAGTCTGCACTATGCTCATTGAAGCTGGTTGCAATCCGTCTGCCAAAACACGAGTAAGTGCCATGCTTTTACAGATTCCCGCGCTTTAGACCACCTCAGAATGACTGGCATATAAACGCCTTTTTTTACTGGTGAGAATAAATTTACTCACAAGTCTGGTAGCGCAGCATGACTGCCATTATTGGTTTGGAGCAAATTTTGAATTTCAACCTCCTTTATGCTATGTTTTTTCCCATTTGGATCGCTCTGGAAATCTTCCAAGATTAGGAAATTTTATTCTCTCTAATTGAAAGGGGATCTTTTCAGAGCTCATATTGGCTCTCTCAGTTCTAATGTCATGGTAGTCCTTATATTACCATTGTTAGCAATTGACATGACAGTGGTTTCAAGGAAAGATATAGAGATATGATTTGATTGCTAATGATAATCCAAGTCTTCATTGTACTGCAGGACACGCGTGATGATATTTTTGAGTTTTTTGTGGAGAATGCGAATAATCAATTAGGTTGTTATGTTTACTCAAACGAAATTGGTCCTTTGCCGTAGACCAAAGTTATAAGAAACTATGTTGCCACGGTAAAATGGTAATTTTGTCAGGCATTGCAATCAAGACTGCCCATCACTACAATCTAAGAATTTAAAAAGTGACCTTTATAATTAAAATGTGCCATACTCTTGTGATTCACGTAGACAGAGTTGGCAAGTTGTCTAATGTATGGCAAGACAATCTCAATTTATGCATGCCGTCACTTAATAATAATGGCTTGGACACTGAGATTGGTGTATTGTCCATTAGCTTATCTAACGATTTGAATTATCTCAGCTAGAGTTAGTCCACTGAGTTTAAAATATTTATTTATTTATATCAAATGGCAGGCTTTATAATA